ACTTGCTATACCCCCTGATGAACCATTTTTCCATTGATAAACTGGATCAACCCTTTCAAGGTGGGTTTCTATAGGTGATGATAAACTCTCTATTAGAGATTAATCCACTTTATCGATGGAAAAATGGTTCATCAGTTTACAACGTATGACAAACCCTTTGAGGGTGTTCCAAGAAAAAAGGATTCACAGGGGGTGGAGCAAGATGATAAATAGATTACTCGGTTATAAACCTTTTTTGAGGGTTTATCATTCATCGGAAATTTTTTTCAGTGTTTCATAAGAGTTATAGGTTTTATAGGAGACCTCCGAAGACATCTTCAAACCCTATAGTGACGTGATCAAATGGATTTAACCTAGCAGCGTAGTTAGAACGAGCACATCAAGTTGCTCTAAACCATCTTATAAAAAATGCTAACAAAATTGGTCGATACTCAATTGTATTGAACGACGTTGATTATTAATAAATCATGAGTATGGGGGAAAAGTGACTGCTACATTTCACATGCATAACAATGAGACTTGGTGGAGAAAGATAGAAATTTGCTGCTTCGCTGAGAATGAAAGTTACTGATACGCTTCAAGATACCAATAAATTGCTCTGGATGTGTTTACTAACTGGTAAATCGGTAACTTATATGTTACTTCTACATTAATTCGTTGGGTGACATTGAGTACCGACCGTTTGTGTTATTATTTTTATAAGGTGTTTAGGGCAACTTGATGTGCTCTTTCTAACCATGCTGTTAGGTTGAATTCATCAGATCATGTGCCCGTAAAATTTGAGGATTTCTTCAAAGATTTCCGATAAGATTCGGAACTCGCATAGTAATTGTCGTGTTAAACTCCTCCAAATTAGTCTCTAATAGTCTACTGGAAGCTTAATATCAGTTAGAACAACATTGTGAGTAGAATTGACAATATTGAATCCACTCTAAACAGATAAACGGTATAAGAAAAGCATATGCATATTAATTACCATAGGGATCCATAGTTATTTCGGAATGATAAGGGTATGAGACAAAAGTTCCCTGATTACGACCTGAAAGTATACGAAGTAGTTCGCATTTCGTCTATACTTAAGAAATATGCGAAAAACCGGCGGTTAAACATGCTCAGAAAATCGGGAAATGGATTTATGATTAGATGGTCTATATACTTATGAAACAGTCAATTTTCCTAGTTTTCCAATTTTTTATTCGACTATGGAGGCAAATCGAAATAGGATAGCAGGGTGGTAGGTAGCATATATACGGTCTCATGTCCACATGCCATAAGTGAATCAGTATTGACCGTTGTTAAAATAGAATAAGCAATTTTGTGTGATTGTGTGAGAGGACCTATAATTTTGTCATACCCTGTACTCTTGAAGTCAATGTGACAGACTTAGTTTAACCGAATACTTACCAGTGTTGGATACCGATAAAGTTAATATTGTCGAAGGAAAAGGAGTTGTAGATGACGTGATAGATGCTGATGATAAACTTGATATTCCTATGTATAAACATCGGGATTAAACATTTTGCTATTAGAGTTCTTTACAATTTTGTCTTCTGTATAGTATTTCAATTTTTAAAAAGAACAATTTTATTCAGAATGCTAATAACCTTTCAGCGATAAATGATATCTCAGCTCATTTCCTATCTGATAAAATTCAATAAGGAAAGACTGGAATACTCTTTTGGAAATTCTGTGAAACTTGTACGAGGTCGATCCTTATCATCGGTGTGAAGCTAGCACGAAGGAGCTAGCACGAACAAACGATGTGTTAGCTAAAAACGTTTTTACTAAGTATGTCCCGTCCATGAAAACTGCACCATTCGACTCAGAATTTAATTCTGCATCGAATGGTGGTGCATTTATTCACCAGACAAACTTTGGAAACTTTTCTATCTATATCTTTGTTCGTTTCCTTTAGGTCTATTTAGAATCCAGATAGAGTTTTTCCAAAATTTGTCCGGTGAATAAACGCACCACCATTCGATGCAGCATTAAATTCACAGTCGAATGATATAATTTCTAAGGACCGGAGTTATTTAGTAAAAACGTTTTTAGCTAACACATCGTTTGTTCGTGCTAGCTCCTTCGTGCTAGCTTCACACTATTTTCTCCTCACGAACGTGAACACTATCATATAGACATCAGTGTGATACGACACAGAAAACGTGTACAATACATACTATATGACGGTCGCTGAGGGACATAAATAATCACTGTATTTACGTCCTTTGATAAATAAGAGCATAGTGTGCTATTCTCTGTCAGAATAAAGTATTTATTTAACTTTAAAAATTAA